GACGTGCACCAAAGAAGGCAAAGACGGTTCCATCAGCAGGAAAGATTATGGCAACAGTATTTTGGGATTACAAAGGTGTTTTGTTGATCGATTATCTTCAGAAAGATAAAACGATTAACTCTGAATATTATTGTAACCTTTTGGATCTATTGGATGCAAAAATTCGTGAGAAAAGACCTGCTTTAAAGAAGAAAAGAATCGTTTTCCATCAAGACAATGCACGTGTTCACACAAGTATTTTGACAATGGCAAAATTCAACGAATTAAAGTACGAATTACTTGAATATCCAGCGTATTCACCAAATTTGGCTTCCTCTGACTATTATCTGTTTCCAAATCTGAAAAAATTCCTGACTGGAAAGCGTTTTACATCAAATAACGAAGCTGTTGCAGTCATGGATGGATATTTTGCAGACCTTCCGGAATCACACTTTAATAATGGTATTGAATTATTGGAAAAGCGTTAGAATAAATGTATTGAAGTTTCAGGAGATTATATAGAAAAATAAAACATATCTCACAGCAAAAAAATTTTCTTTCATTAGGCCGAAAACTTTTCAGACTGCCTACGTATATTAGTAATATAATTCTTTTCACGAAGAATATTTACAAAACTTTTGAATTTTACACTAACTATACAGATATTTTCTGATAACCATCCATACATGTGATTGATGCAATTTGCAAATGTAGATAAAACATTTAACGTATCTGGTGTTACATATAAGCAATTATTAAAAATTATGAGTTTCACAATTTATGAGTTGTATATCTTACATGACGTTATTATTAATTCTTCTATAGGTATCGGGGGAGACGATGACTTGTAAAAATTGGCCTGCAAAAATCTTTGGATGTCAACACGTTGCCCCATTAGCATATTCCAAGTATTGATCGGCAATAGCAATTGTTTGCTACGATTATCATCAATGACTATGTCTATGACTAGCTCAGCTCCTACGCTGATTCCAATATTAAAATATTTATAAGCAGTTGCAGTCAAAGCGTATCGGCGTCCTAAGATATGCATAGCAGGAGGTCGTGGAACGCTAAAAAGATATAGAGAAACATGTCTGAATCTCGGAAAAATTACTACAGATAAACTAAAAGAAACAGCGTTATGACACTTACCTCTCGCACATTTTCTTGCACGGTGGAGCCTCGTCCTCATGTTGAGCAGGCATGTAATAATTTGCTTGTTTAACGTTCACTTCAGCACCGGCAACGTACATTTTTACTATGTAGATACACCCAAACTTTACTATGTAGACATACAACCGATGAATCTCGTGTTCACAGAGCGACTGAGGGACAGAAATTTTTTTTCGAAGCCTAATATTATAGCTACTATAGTGCATCCCCTCCTCTTACTCTTCGGAGTTGTAGTGCATGCGCAGATACATTCTTCAAACCGAGAAAGTAAACGAGATGTGGCTATCTTTGTTTTAGACCCTCCACCCCATTTGACTTAAGCATGTTCAAACTTGTTTTCTAATGGAAAGAATTGCGACGCGATTTTCGCTCGCCGTCGGCAAACTGCCGTCGGTCCGCGCGTCTCGGCCAACCTAGCTCTCACGAAATAGGTTGGGCGCCAGGTGCAACGGGCTGCACCGTTCATCAACGCTACGCGACACCTCACCCAAAGGGCCGAGACACGCGAAGGCGACGGGACCGGTAGCTCTTCGATATTTAAGTCGGTAGACAGGAAGAGTTCGTCGGAAGTCGGGAACGACCGGGAAAACACAAGAACGACGAGGCGCGTTTCGACTATCTTCAATTTTATTATTGCGGGGATCGGAACGGTCCGACCCCTCGGTACGATACACTCCGCTTTGCCCTCGCGAATTCGAGATTTGGCGCTACGCCGATAACTAGGACGAGACTCTTTACGGTCACGACACCGAAATGATAACGCAGGTGGAAGGTCTTACAAACTCGGGAACCTCCCAGCGACGTGGTCCTCCTCCTTTCTCCCCCTCACTCTCCCTCTGGCGCAGCGCTGTCACTGACGTTCCTTTCTAGAGCGGTGGCCACGTCCGGAGTCCTCCACTCGCGAACACTAGTCTTCACCAATCTCCTTGTTCTTTTATTTTTGCGGCAGTCGATAATTCTCCGGTAATATTCGGAAGCAGGTCGGCGATATTAGAGAGCGCGACAATGGGAGTCTCCTCTTTTTATTTCCTTCTCCCGACAGGCTTTCTTGTCCGTTGGTGTTGTCTCGTGCTACCCGTCTTTCCCCGTTCCTCGGTAAATCTTTCTATATGGGAATCCTTCCGCGGATCTTTGTTTTTCGATCCGCGGGACGGGTGCTCGGTCTCACTCTCTTGCTCGTTCCCTCTCTCTCTTGCTCACGCTCGCCCGGTCTCCGTGTTTAGGCTGGCTTTGTCTAGTCGGCGTTCACGCGCCAAGCACGGGAACGCCGACCGTTCGGCGCGATATCCTTGCAGGCCTGTGGACAACGGAAGCGGCCGCGAGAACCTTTCACAACGATACGGAACCGATAATAGTAGTGCAACAAGATTGCGTTCACCTGGGGTGGCGGTCCAGCTGAGAGCGTTGTCCTATTCTCTCCTCCACCTGTCCCTTTGGTCCTGATGGGCGGCGCGGGAGGTCCAGGGGCACAGAGCTCGGGGACGCGGGACCGTTCCACCTGCACGCTTCGCTTGCTGACACTAATTATTACGGGGGAGAGTGCAAAGCGCCACCCCCCCCCCCCGAAAGTCTCGCCTAAGGGCCGAAAGGTCGGCCTGGGACGGGCGCCTTTCCGGCTGCCACGTCACAGAATATAAAGTAAACCATTCTAGAGTGCAGAACTATTCTCCGCAGTTAATGAAAACATGAAAAACTTCGCTCAAACCGAACGAGAACTGTTGGCGCAATCCACTCGTTTGAATTCGCGAGTGGCATACGACGCATGGGTGCAAAAGTGTGACAAGTGTATCAGATGTTTGGAGAAACAAAGTCGAGCAAAACGACTGCGATTGTTAATTAGCGCCGCTAATCGGTGGTGGCTCATATTGCACGATTCGAGGGACTGAAAATTTCTGTGCAAGAACGCTTCATATATGTGAGTGCTGGACACGCTTCAAGAGATGCAGAATTGGTATGGAAAGAAATTGATACGGCGTTCAAAAGCCGCATATCAACCGGCGCAGTTATTAACGTGAACCATATCGAACTTCTTCGATTTCTCCAAGATGCGAAGAGTACGGTGCTCGAGCACGTGCGAAGTGCTATGGAAAGACATAACAATCTTAAGGTGAACACTGTGTTCAATGGCGAGTTTACACGGGTGACAATCACGCGTTCAAAAACATTGACACGAGAAACAGTGAACTCTTTTCTACTTTGGATTTGGAAAAATGATATGAGCAACGCGTCATCGAGGCCTTGGCATCTTTGGAGGAATTTCAAGAACGTGATAGTGGGTGGGCATTGCTGCGCATACTTGATCTCACAGTCAATGTGAACAAATACAATCCACTGCATGCAGGGTACAACATTGAATTGCCGCGCGAAATAAAATTAAAGAAAGCAGTGATAAACGTACAAACTAAAAACAACACATGTTTTGCGTGGGTTGTGGTTGCGGCATTATATCCAGCTGAAAGAAATGGAGACCGGAAATATTCGTACCCACATTACATCAAAATATTCAATCTTCAGGATATTGAATTTCTAATGACGATTAAACAAATTACTAAGTTTGGACAGCTAAACAACATATCGATCAACGTACAGGTTGCGTGAAAAGTTCGCGGAGCGAAACTGAAATAAAGAATACCAAATTCTAAAAATGATTTTATTCTTCAATATAGTCTCCATTAACTTCAATACACTTGGCCCAATGGCTTTCCAATAATTTTATTCCATCGCGGAAGTGTGTTTCTGGAAGGTCTGCAAAATATACCTCTACGGCTACTATAGCTTCTTCATTCGACAAAATATGCCTTCTACGGAGGAATTGTTTCAGATTTCGGAACAGATAGAAGTCGCTGGGTGCCAAATCTGGCGAATACGATGGATGATCAAGCAATTTGTACTTCAATTCATTGAATTTAAACATTGACAAAATACTTGTGTGAGCAGGTGCGTTGTATTGGTGAAAAATGATTTGTTTGTGCTGCAAACCAGGTCTTTTCTCACGAATTTTTGCGTCCAATTGATCCAAAAGGTTATAATAATATTCAGAGTTAATTGTTTTACCTTTTTCCAGATAGTCAATTAACAAAATCCTTTAGCATCCGAAAAAACTGACGCCAAAACCTTTTTTGCCGATCTTTCAAGCTTTGTTTGCTTTGAAGCTGAACATCCAGCTTCAGTCCACTGCGAACGTTCCTGTTTCAATTTAGGATCATGATGATAGATCCAAGTCACATCCATAGTTATAAAACGATGTACAAAATCGGTTTTATTCTTCTTAAAACGATCCAAATGACGCTGAGAATTTTGCTTTCGAGCGAGTTTTTGTTGAATTGTTAATGTATGCGGTACCACTTTTCCAAACACCTTTTTCATTTGTAATTCTTTACGCAAAATATGCCGTACCCGTTCATCTGAAATGGTATGGGCAATTTCACGCATAGTCACACTTGGATCTTCAGAAACAATAACATATATTTGCTCAATGATTTCTGGTATTGATTTAACATTTAACATTTAACACGTTCATTGCCGTTCACGCGATATCGTGTGATCGTCGCTAACAAGTTTCTATGCGGGATAGAATAGTGGCCATAGCGAAACGGCGCGTGATGTTTACATAGGGCACTGGGGAAGGGTTCGAACTCTCGTGGAGGGGGAATGGCCTCCAGCCATTGTCTGTTGTTTTTGCTAGCCAGTGCGCACAGCGGCGTTCGAACTAGGCGACGACTCGACGATTTTGTTTAGGTTATTCGTTGATTTAGCGCACTTGAAGTTTAGTTTTTATTTATTTTGAATATTATTTTTTGTTTTTTATTATGAGTGACAAACCGGGACCCTCGAAAAGACTCAGTTCAATGCCAGATAGTGCAAAAAAACGACTAAAAAGTACGAATGTGGAAGAGTTATTACTGGACTCGGACGACGATATTTATGCAGAGAGTGATGTCGATGATATAGACTACGATTTTTGTGATAGCGAAATTAGCTCGGAATCTGAAAAAGACGAAACTTCGCAGTTGCAGGTAGAACGAAATAATGAGGTCGTAAGTGAACAACAAATTTCCGTTCCCTTCAGTCAACTGTCAGTTCGTCCCGTTTCCCCTTCTGGTTCTGCGGCGCCATCTGCAACAACTGTGTCACCACCACAATGTCCGTCTGACCAGCCATCGCGCGCAGCTTCAACGACACGTTGGAGTATCGACTTCAGTTCGATGAGGGAAATTCCCTTTACTCGGACAAATGAACTACTAGTGTCAGCGGCGAATAATCCGAGGGATTATTTTGATTTATTTCTCAATGAAGATTACTTACAAAAAGTCGTCGATTGCTCAAACAGATATGCAGAAAACTTGAAAAATTCATCTCATCAGGTTCAGTCTCGAATTTCCCAATGAAAGCCACTCACTGTAGAAGAACTGAAAATCTTTATTGGGTTATTATTACACACTGGTACAGCAAAAATGAATCGCCTTGTTGATTACTGGAAAATTCACCGTTTATATAAATCAGTTTTCCCTCAATATATGTCGAAAAATAGGTTTCAACTTATTCTAAGATGCCTTCATTTTGTTGATGAACAAAATAATGCCGATCGCATGAATAAATGCAAATTAGTAATAGACAACTTCAACAATATTATGGAGTCTATTTATTATCCGGGTAAAATTTGTCTTTAGACGAATCCATGATTTTATGGCGTAGTCGACTTATTTGCCGCCAGTATATCAAGAGAAAAAGACACAAATATGGAATCAAGTTGTATGTACTTGCGGAACCAAATGGTACCAGCTTAAAAGTTTGTTTTTGCCAGTACGTTAGATGAAACTGCTGAGAAAGGCCACACAGAAAAAATTGTGGAAAAGTTATTGGAGGGAAAATTCTATGCTGGCCATGCAGTGTTTATAGACAATTTTTATAATAGCTACGGTTTAGCTGTCAAATTATTGGAGCAAAATACATATTGCATCGGCATATTGAACAAGAAACGAAAAGAAAATCCACCTAGCATAATTACAGAAAAACTAAAAAAAGGTGAAAATATATCACAGTGTCGTAACGGTGTCCATGTAAGGAAATGGAAGGACAAAAGGGAGATAAATTACATCACTACTGAATTTCCTGACAAAATGCAAGAAGTGACCACCAGATGCGGCAATGTTGCTATGAAACCTGCAGCTATCATAAATTATAATAGAAACATGTCCGGCGTTGATCTACAGGATCAAATGCTTAGTTATTATCCATGTGAAAGGAAGACTTTGCGTTGGTATGTGAAAATTTGTGTACATACTTTGATGATGAGTTTGATAAATGCCCGGGTACTTTATAATAAATATTCTAATAAAAGGAGCATGACTCTTTATGATTTTAGAGAGAAAATAATTGAATCGTATTTGCCAGAAATAACATCTGACCCACAAACCACACAGAAGAGACGCGGAGACCGAGACAAACACAAGCTGACTAAAATTGAAAAAGCCAAACTGCGATGTCTAAGCACTGGCAAAACGCAACGTCCAGAAAGGATTGTAGAAACTGTTATAAAAATAAAAAAAGGGTAAACACCACCACTGAGTATAAAAATTGTCCAGGTTCTCCCCCGTTGTGTATTGACTGTTTTTTTGACTTGCATGATTGCACTGCTAAATAAATTTATATTGTATCCCTTTTTGTGTTTTTTGTGTTTTTGTTTTTTGAATATGTAAGTGATTTACAATTTAGAGTAAGTTCATTTGTTATATAAGTTTCTTAGTTGATATTATAATATGTGCAATTACGAAACCAATTAGTTTAACGAAACTAAAATTAGTAAGTTCCTATAAATATTGATTTTTGCTAATATAAATGTCTATTTGTGCGTTATTTTTAATACTTATAAGTGATTATATAGAAAGACTGATAATTAAAGTTATAATTATTATATTTAAATGTTTTTTATTGGTAAATATTTAGAGTACATTAAATCCTACTTACATAATAATAAAAGTATATAGATAATATACTAACTTATTTTGAGCACAATAAAAACTAAATAAAAGAAAAAATAACTTTGGCCACTACACAAAATTCAAATTTTCAGTTTGGCAATGAACGTGTTAAACCTTTTTTTAACAAAGAACTCAATCACTGCATGCTGTTTCAAATTTTCCATTGCAAACAAATATACCGACACGTCAACTTCAATTGGCTTGTAAATTGCGACGTTAACTTCTTTTCGCCGTCGGCAAATTGTCGTCGGCCCACGCGCCGACCGTTCATACTCGCACCAAAGTGTTGAGCGCCAGGTGCGGATAGCCGCACCGATCACTAACCCGAAAAAGAGATAATTAACGGCCGGCCGTGATGCGAGAGTTCGACGGACCCGGTAGCTCTATGGGAATTATAGTCGGTAATAGGGGAGGTTCGGTCGGAAATTCGGGAACGGGTGAGAAAACCCAAGAAGGCGGTATTCTAATCGGTACTGCTATTTATTCGGTACCGATAATTAGCCCACCCCGGAATTCCGCAGGCCGGTACAAATACCCACCGCGTTATTTCCGCGGGATCGGGACTGCTTGCGCTCACAATAAATTGACGGGACGAGACACCGAAACGTTAAAGCAGGTGGACAGTCTTACAATATCGGGAACCTCCCGGCGGCATGGTCCTCGGTTGTAGATGGGTCGGTTGATCCGGTCGCGCAGCCAGCGGCAGCTCAGTTCTCTCCGGAATCTTCGCCCTCGGGATCTCACGGTACGGCTGGTTTCGGTAGCGAGCGGAACTTCAAGGAAAAAAATCCTCCTGGAGTATCTGTCAGTGGCACGCCAAACTTCCTCTCTCTTGCGAGCGGAGGCACCAATATAATCCGCCGGAACGAGCGGTACACAAAGTTTCGATTTCGGGCCGAACACTGAATTTCCTCTCTGAGTGGACGCAAAACGACTAGTCTCCTCGAGGCCAAAAACGAATCTTTTGCCTCGAGCCCCAAAAACGAATCTGAATCTCTTCTCTCTACGGAAAAACGGTATCTCCTTCTTGTGCTCTGTTTTTGCGAGGGGGTTCTCTTCTCCCCGTTTCTCCTCGCCTCCTCTAGCGGTACAGCAATCCTTCCACGGATCATTGTTGTCGTTCCGCGGAACGGATGCTCCATCTCGCTCTGGCTCTCTATCTCTCTCTCTCTCTTTCTTTGTTTCGCCCGTGGATCCGCACGTCTTATTTTCAGCGAGTGTGCCATACGACGGGAGCGTGATCGCCGGTCTCCCGTCTCCTTCTTCCTTGTTGTGTCTGTGGCCTATGGAACAACAAAGGCGGCAGCGGTAGTGCTTTTCGGGACGACACATAATGTGATAATAGAAACGAGAATCGAGAGCAATCATCTGATATGCCGGTGTCTGGCCGAGGCCGTGGTCCTCCTTATCTTTTTGATCCCTGGGTCCTGGCGGTCAGCTCGCGAGGTTCAGGGGCACAAAACTCGGGGGCGCGAGACCGTCGCACCTGCACGCTCTTAACTCTAATCTCTAATTAATTCGGGGGGGGCGATTCGGCTCCCCTCCCCCGCAAATCTCGCGCGATAATCTCCCCCCCCCCGCAAATCTCGCGTAGGGGTCGAAGGTTCGCAATGTGATGGGCGCCTCCACGGCCGCCACGTCACAAAACGTAGAAAGAATTGACAGATGGAAATGAAACCTAACCTAGGTTCATGTGAAGAATGATTCTATATAACCGACTACAATTTATAATTCTACCGTTTACTTATAGATGCCGCTCCGCGAACTTTTCACGCAACCTGTATATACCATTCAAAATAAAAAGAAGCAGGAAGAAGCATGTACGATCGTTCCAATACGTCTCACCAGTAAGAAGGAAAAGCATCTAAATTTGTTATATGTGCAAGATCCACGAGAGTACAACATGGAATATTTCGTGTGGATCAAGAATTTGTCACGTCTTGTGAGCTGGCAACTAAAAAAGGAACTGTCAAGGTTGTCCCTTACCGATTTGATTCTCCTTGAAATATGTTATAAAACAAACAAATCAAAGAGAAGCGTATTTTTTTATATCGGCCCAATCTCATGTTTAAGGGATGAAACAACCCTTTGAAAAAAAAACGGTCTTTTTCTTTGAGATCGAATATTGTCGAAACTATAAGACATACAAAAAAATTGTTTCAACAAAATTTTAATGGTTTGAAGAGTACTTTGAGGTTATGTGAAGAAAAATTTTTTTTATTAAATATTTTTTTATTTAACCACCACCTCCACTCCCCCCCTTTTTGTAAAATTAAAAATTTTTTTTACCAAAGTAAAGGTTATTTTTTTCCAAATGGAGGTGGTGGTTAAATAAAAAAATATTTAATAAAAAAATTTTTCTTCGCATAACCTCAAAGTACTCTTCAAACCATTAAAATTTTGTTGAAACAATTTTTTTATATGTCTTATAGTTTCGACAATATTCGATCTCAAAGAAAAAGGCCGTTTTTTTTCAAAGGGTTGTTTCATCCCTTAAACATGAGATTGGGCCGATATAAAAAAATACGTTTCTCTTTGATTTGTTTGTTTTATAACATATTTCAAGGAGAATCAAATCGGTAAGGGACACCCCTGACAGTTCCCTTGTAAGTAAGAAAAAATCCAAGGAATATATATGTGATCGATAAGGATATTCTCTATGAATACAATATAACAAATATGATATAAAAGAAAAACTCGTAATATCCATTTCTTTTTCGTTTCAGTTGCTTGCATTATTTTGATTCCAACGAGAAACTGGAGAATCATATCATAGATTGCAACAAGTTGAATGACTATGCAGTCATCCTGCTAACAGAGGACAAGTGGCTCAGTTTTACCAATTACAGCAGAAGGAAACGGATTCCATTTGTGATGTACGCTGACCTGGAATGCAATCTAGAGAAGACGCCAAACGAAGAAAAAAAATCGTACGTGTATCAGCATTATAAAGTACATAGTAGAGATGTGCGAACTATTCAAATTCGAATCGAATCGAATCTAATATAATTCGATTCGATTCGAATCCGAATCCCTGTGATTCGAATCCGAATAATTCGAAAATCTCGAATCGCGGAGATTCGATTACGAATCAAATATATTAGCGTTTGTGCGTATCAGTTATAAAACGGGCCATCTGGGCCTGTATATTTAAACCCTTAACTTATTTTTAATTAATTATTAATTAATAATGTTTAATTACCGTAATTAACCTAACTTATAATTAATAACTTAATTATAAATTATTATAAATATTTAAATATATATTTTATTTTAAGATAATATTACAATATTAATATTTCCTTTCATATTAAAATCTTCCATTATTATTTGCACGTTTAATACTCATGTTAAACTTTTTAATAGTTCGATTCGATTTGATTCAAATTCGAATGAAATTTCATAGATTCGATTCGATTCGATTCGACATAAAAATTCTTGATTCGCAAATCTCTAGTACATAGTATAGCTTATTACGTACGATGTTCCTATGATGAATCATTATCCGCGTATCAGAGTCGTCACGATCCGAATTGCATTTCGTAGTTCGTCGAGGAACTTAAACAACTGGCGCATCGTATAAAAATTATTCTGCATAATAATGTCCCTATGGAAATATTATCACAAGAACAGTGCGCAGCATTTTATAGTGCAACGCATTGTCATATATGCGAAAAATTATTCGCAGTGGGGGATATACGCGTACGCGATCACTGTCATTTAACCGGACAATACAGGGGTCCGGCACATTCCAATTGTAATTTAAATTATACAGATTCCTATTATATTCCGCTAGTTTTTCATAACTTATCAGGTTATGACGTTCATTTTATTATCAAGGAAGTAGCCACCGCGTTCGAAGGTCACGTCGATGTACTACCAATAACGAAAGAAAAATATATTTCATTTACCAAACATATTAATGATACAACAAATAAAACATCAGGCTGGCGAAATCATATTAAATTGCGGTTCATCGATTCGTACAAATTTCTCAGTACCAGTCTCGATAAATTAGCATCGTTTCTCACTGGAGACAAATTAAAAATTCTTCAATCCGAATTTAAAAACTTATCCGACAAAGATTTTGATTTATTAACGCGAAAAGGTGTCTTTCTGTACGAATATGTGGATTGCAATGACAAGCTGCAGGATCAATGTTTACCACCGCGCGAGTTATTCTACAGTTCGCTGACAGATGATACAGTATCTGAGAGCGATTACACGCACGCCGTGAACATATGGGAACGGTTTTCTATTCAAACTTTAGGCGAATATAGCGATTTATACCTGAAGATTGATGTTTTGTTATTGGCTGATATTTTCTAAAATTTCCGCGATAGTTGTATCAAAAGTTACGGTCTAGATCCCGCGCATTATTACACATTGCCAGGTTTCACGTGGAACGCAGTGTTAAAACATACAAAAATTAATTTTGAATTGCTCACAGATATTGATATGGTGATGTTTATCGAACGCGGTATACGTGGTAGTCTGAGTCAGTGTTCCGGTATACAAAAGCCAATAACCAATACATGCAATCTTACGATCCATCGAAGCCATCCTCATACCTCATGTATTT